AAATAATGACACTACAAACAGTTCTGATCAAAGATCCAACAAAAACTTAGTAATATGGTTCTCAGTCCTACACACTTGTTTTTTATCTTAAAGAGGGTAAAATTAAACATGACAAAACAGAACAACAGTTCATAAGGAAACAATTTAAAGAAATACAGATTTCAAAGGAAGTCCACTGGAGATCTTCACTGTCTATCTTGTCTCTAGTTTTCTTCCAAATAGTTGTCCCCATCTTCACACACGTTGAATACATACAGAATATTATAGAACTAATCAAATTATTACAGGATGATGAAGGTTTTTTAGGTCTTCAAGACCTGATTTTGGGGAAGTCAATAATGATTACCATAGTGTCTCTCATTCTCTTCATAGTAGCTGTCTTTATCTTTATATATGCTGAAATTGAACGTAAGAGACTAGACTAATATCACTCTGAACAGTGAATAATAGTATTGCTAGATTTTACATCATAATGCTATAGAATTAGCATTGGGTTTCTTAGTGTCTCTTCTTCTTCAGAGTATCTGTTCATTACAACCTGTATTATATAATCTGTTCCCGTGAATAACTTAGAAATTCTTCCCATGTGTGAATCTCTACATTTATATCTATCCTTTCTGTGTTTTAGGGAAAAACAGATCAAAACAAGACAACAAAACAAATTCCTAGAAAAACATGAAATGAAAAAGACATATAAGACCACAATCTACAGTAGTTACTATGCTTTCTCTTGTTATTTTCAATAGAATTGTCCACATCATCATGCATTATATAGTTAAGCATAGCATTACATAGCTATTTTTATAAAAACACAACTTTGAGGACATTGTAGGACTTGAAAGCAGTTAATAATCAAAACTGGAATGGATATCTTTTACATCTTGTCATCTTCAGAATAGTTGTCTCTACTCTTAGACTTGATACTATCAAGCATACCAACTTCAAATAAAATCAGTCAAGGCAAAATAGTGTCTAACAAACCAGCTTCAAATAAGATCAGTCATAGTAAGACAATGTAAGTAATACAGGGTTTCAGTTTAATTTAATAGGAAATTAAGGATAGTTACCATGATATAACCTGCTATTTTTGGGTTAGATGTCTGTGCCCTCAAATCTCATATGAGTAGACAGACCAGAACAAAATATAATCAAACTAAATAGAGCAATAAGACTACTGTGGCTTTTAAATCCTGATACACTTTTAACAATGTCCTTGGCCTTCTTTTTTAGGCTATTCCTCCCCTTTTCCTTTCTCAGGATGCTTTGTATATTTTGGGTTCCACTAGCTCCTTTAGTTTTTAGACTAGGGGGTCAACCTGTTATCTATCTAGTGTTGCTGAACCTTTTTACCCCTGAGCTTGATCTTGAGCTGTACTCCTTTACTTACTAAAGCCACAAGGTTTTCCTTCCTTCCAGCTGTGTAGTTCTATGCTGCCCAAAAGTGTTATGACTCTCCAACCTATCTGCAGTTGCTGGATGAGTTGTCCCTATTTCTCTCTGGTTTCCTGTTACATATAACATTGTTTTCTCATCTTTGACTCTCAGTTTATTAACCCTCTTTCAGGTTGAGTGTATTTCCTATTCAGAGCATCTCGATGGATCCTGCCTCCTAATTTACTCTGCCTGTGTTTCTTTTTTGTTAGTGTATCAAGGCTATCTGTATTAAAGATTATAGCTTACTGTCTCTGCCTCATTTCTGCTATTCTATCCTTCTGCTATTATTTATCCACTTCACTCCTTCATTCCACTGTCTGCCCTGTTCATTGAGGGCTCTCTTCCACTGTTGCTGGAATCCTCATATTTTTTCCTCTCTCTCTGGAATATCCTTCAGTATTTTTTGTAGGGTTGGGTTGGTGGCCATGAATGCCCACAGTTCCTCCTTGTCTTGGAAATATCTTGTTTCTCCATTAATTTGGAGAGAGAGTTTTTCTGGGTACATCAGTCTTGGTTGGGGGTTTATTTCTTTCAGGGCTTGGGCCATCCCCCCCAGGCTCTTCTCAACTTGAGAGTTTGTGTTGATAAGTCTGTCATTATTTTGGTAATTTTTCCTTTGTAGGTGATCTGCTTCTTTTCTCTGGATGCTTTTAATGCTTTTAATATTCTGTTCTTGTGGTGAATTTCTGGAATCTTGATTATTATATGTCTGGGTGTAGATCTGTTTTGGTTTTAGGTGGCTGGTGTTTTATATGCCTCATTTATCTGGATATCATTTTTTTTTCCTTTGCTTTGGAAGTTTTCCTTAATTATATCTGTGAATAGTCTTTGTAGTTCATTTGAGGTTACTCCTGCTTCTTCACTCACATTTTTTACTCTTAACTTATAAATCCTCTTATCATCTTCTAGCCTTTGAATTGTTTTGTCCTGGTTCCTTGTTATTTTTAAGAGATCTTTTCTTTCATGATCACACATCATAAATCTCTCTTCAAGTTTCAAAAGGCTAACTTTAGTTTCTGTCAAGGCATTTTGCCAGTTTTCAGTGTAGTTTTTAGTTTCCTTGGTAATCTCTTTGGATCTGTTTCATGTATTCTAGATTTTGTTTATATCCTTCATCAGAGGTTTCTCTTCCTTTTATGAGTTCCTCTGTTCTTCCATCTGTATTCTCTTGGGAGGAGCTTATCATTTCTTTTTATATCCTGCCTCACTTTGATCAGAAGTACATTTTAAATTCATCTATGAGGTCACAGAGGTATTTCTTTATGTCCGCTGATGCTGTGTCTAATATTGCATGATTACAGCACTAGTTCTCTTCTGTATTTACTTCTCCTGGGTCAGCGGCTAGAGGCTTTTTTTTTTTTTATTTCTGTCTCTTGTCATGTTTCTGGTTTCTTTCAGACAAGTGTGTTTGGGGTCTCTTGCCCTCTCCATATTGCTTAGGGTCTTTCCAAAGTGTGCTGACTGGGGTTTTGTGGCCCTCCCCAATTTGCTATTATCTGAGGTACACACAGGGATGCAGGGATGGTGCAAGCTAGCCTCAAGCCTCGAGCCAGTCACCCCACAATTTCCTTCAGCAACTTAGGCTGTACCTTGTGGACGTCACAGAGTTATGACAGTTTTGTCCCTGGCTACTGGGTCCCAACCAGAGGCATAGCTCAGCCCCATCAGATCCCACCAATCCTCTCTATGCCCAGGACAGCCAACAGACACCACCACAGCACCAGGCTCTGCCCACCTCCAAGATGTCCTCCAGCCAGCAGCAGCAGCCACGGGACCCAATCCCCAGCACTCACCAGGAATCAATGCAGTTTTCCATCTTGGCTCTACTCCATGCTGTGCCACATCCTCCAGCAAAGGGCTCGGAACTCAACAATTTCTGTAATTGGTGGCCATGGCTTCAGCTCGACCTTGAATCACCTAACTTCACGGTGCTCCCAGCACAGCATGGACCAGTCTCAGTGAGCGCATAGGGCTCCAGCCCTCACTCATGTTTTTCCTTCCTCTGCAGAGCTAGATTCTAGCTTGATGTGGTTTTTCCACGTCTAGATCAGCATTTTGCCTCTTTAGAAAACTGTGCAGTGGCCGGCTTTGGCGCCCAGGTGCATGGTCCTCTCCAAGGCCTCCTCCAGTGCAGCCAGGAGGTTCTGGCTGCTCCGCAGGGCTCCGGGACCCAATTTCCAGTACTCACCGAGAGCCAATAAAGCTCTCCACCTTGGCTCCACTCCAAACTGTGCTGCATGCTCCTGTCAAGGGTCCTGGACTCATCAACTCCCGTTATTGGCAGCTGCGGCTTTGGTGCAACTTTGGATTCTCCAATGCTAGGGCGTACCCAGCACGGAATGGGTCTCAGTGAGCATGTCAGGCTTCAGCCCTCCACCCATGCTTTTCCTTCCTCTTCCTAATTTTATTTTTCCCTTTGGTTTTCTTCTGGCTTAATAAGACTCATTCTCCAATCGTCTGGCCCTCTCCATGTTGTCAAATTCTAGCATCTGAGCTGTTTTTCCCACAGAGGTTCTCTATCCAGCTTCCTATCAAGTCATCATTTTTTGAGTCTCCTAAAGCCTGATTTGAGTTACAGCTTACTGAAAGTAGAAAAATCATGGTTTGGCATTAATATTGATGTTTTAAATATAGTAAAGTGATATTTTTGATGGATCTTAAAATTGAAACCTATCAAAACAACTGAAATATCTGGTAACATATAAAATAGCAATATTGGGAGTAATAAAACCCAAAATGTGTAATTGTCATTGTACAAAAGAGAGGAAAAGAAAGTGCTCTAAAGGATATAACTGCATGTGTATTTAAGTGTATAAGATAGATAACCATATTACTGAGTTTTGTTGGATCATTGAACAGAACTGTGTGCAGTCTCACTGTTTGAATGTCCACTTTATATGATTTAATTTTGTAACTTGAACAACTATTTCTAGGATGACAATATGTAATTTATTAACTAGTGATTTCCTACTGTTTTTTTCTGAAATTCTGTATAACTTGTACCCTTTTTCTGTTTTTTTTCTTTTTCTCCTTAAATAAAACTGAAAAAAAAAGCTTTAAAATAAAATAAAATAAAATAGCAATATTTTAAATATAAAGGTACAACAGATGAAAGCAATTCAGCCTCACTAAAAAGTTTTTCAGGAACATAGATTATTCATAAGAAATTGAGAAAAGGAACAGTCTAAAGTTGTAAAAGACAGTATAAAGGAAATAAGAAAAAAGTATTAGATTGAGCCAAAATAAAGATCATTTTAAAAACCAACAAAATGAATATATTATTTCCTAAAACCAATGCAAAATAACCAGTTGGAAATGAGACAAGTTGTAGCCAATAAAAAACATTTAAGAATTTAGGGGATATTATAATCCAGTGCAGTTTTCTGATGAGTTAGAATTATCTCTGACAGGCTACTGGTTAGCTTCTTGAAATGTTTGAGGAATAAATAAAGATTATATGCTACTGGCGGTGGTGGCGGGGGCGCCAGCGGCAGCGGCGGCGAAGGCTGGGGTGGCAGCGTATAAAGGAGCCGCCGCCGGGTGATGCGGTGAGCGCTGCGGCAGGCCCAGAAGCCTTGAGGGCCCGGAAGCTGTGCGGGCCCTGGCTCTCAGCCCGTCCTGCCTAACCTGCGCTCCCGAACTTACCATCTGACCCGCTACCGCCGAGGCGGTCTTAGGCCCCCTGGTCCCTTCCCCGTCCCTCCCCGCCCCCCTCCCCACCCCGGGGGGCCGCCGCCACCCGCCTCCCGCCATGGCTCTGAAAAGGATCCACAAGGAATTGAATGATCTGGCACGGGACCCACCAGCACAGTGTTCAGCAGGTCCTGTTGGAGATGATATGTTCCATTGGCAAGCTACAATAATGGGGCCAAATGATAGCCCCTATCAGGGTGGAGTATTTTTCTTGACAATTCATTTCCCAACAGATTATCCCTTCAAACCACCTAAGGTTGCATTTACAACAAGAATTTATCATCCAAATATTAACAGTAATGGCAACATTTGTCTTGATATTCTTCAGTCACAGTGGTCTCCAGCACTAACTATTTCAAAAGTACTCTTGTCCATCTGTTCTCTGTTGTGTGATCCCAATCCAGATGATCCTTTAGTGCCTGAGATTGCTCGGATCTACAAAACAGATAGAGAAAAGTACAACAGAATAGCTCGAGAATGGACTCAGAAGTATGCGATGTAATTAAAGAAATTATTGGAAAACCTCTACAAATAAAGATAGGGGAACTCTGAAAGAGAAAGTCCTTTTGATTTCCATTTGACTGCTTTCTATGAGCCCACGCCTCATCTTCCACTGTGCACATGTTTACCTGATACAGCAGTGCTGCGTGTTGTACATACTTGGAAACAACAAACTAGAAATACTGTACTTCTGTACCAACATTGCCTCCTAGCAGAGAAGTGTATGTGTGACAAGCCAGTTCTTCAGACATAACCTAGATATGAGACTAAAAAGCTTTCCATATTGACTTAAATTTGGATAACAGCAAGGTGTGAGGGGTGGTGGGTACATGTGTGTGCTTGGGTGGGGAGAAGCTCCACTGACTTGTAGGAGATGTTTTTAAGTGGAATCTGTTTAAACTCCAAACAGTTATGAAAAGCAAAGTGAAGAACATGAAGCTGTTTCTGTATTCATTTATTCCGAAGGACCTACAATTTAGCTGAAAGTTACGACCAACCAGATTAAATTCTACCCACATCCTGTATTTTGAAGGTCTAAGTTTAACTGGTCAACATTTAAATGGATTGGAGCTATTAGCACATAAAGTGTGATGGGCTTTGTTCCCAACTCTTTATATCTCTCTGCCCCTTGAACTTTTGTCCTTTTAGCCCCTTTCTCTCCATATTCTTTGGTTTGTACGAGGTTTCTCAGTTAATACATAGCTAATAGCTCTTATTTTTCTTATGTTTTTAACTGCTTAGGTCTCTTTGGATGTAAGGGTGAAATTCATGTGATGGAAATACTTGTGTATATTTAAAGACCCAATTGCTCCTCTGGAGCTGGTACGTTCAAGAATGATTAATCTGTGTAATAAACTGATTACTACAGTCATTACATTTAATTTTGTGTGAATAGGCTTTTTGATTTTAAGAACTTTGTCTAGCTGAGATTAGTGGTGGATTTCCCCCCACTCCTAAAATGTTTTCATTTATTATACTGGTTACATTTCAAAATCATGAAACAATTCCAGTTTACATAGTAAAAAAACAAAACCTTGAGTAATTTTATTGAACTATGACACAAACTTGAAAGCATTTTCATGAAATGTATATGTGCAGCATTTTGGGAACATGACTGTTAACTAAGAAATTTGATTTATTAATGAATCTAAGCTGCATTTCACCAAAATCTTGTGACATTCCCTTGGTGCGTAAGAGATAAAAACACAAAGGCATTGCTGTTCGGTAAGTTAAGCCTCTGTGATTGTAATTATAGAAGTGCAACTTGACCAGACCTGGGAAACATGAGCACAATCTTGTATTGGAGAGTCTGCATAATTACTTTGCACTAACATTTAGAAGGATGTTCATCCAGTTTTAAATTGTATTGTATGTGGCTTTTTGAAGTCTTCCCTTGACTATAGTAAAATGTAGTTTGAAACTTGTAAACAACTGTGTTTGCCAGAAACATCATTCATGTGAACTAGGCAAGTTACATTTTTCCTTTTCCAAATCTAACTGTAAACCAGGCCAGCCTGAAGGCCATGGCCGATGCTCTCTAGCCATCAGGTTCTTTAAAATGCATCTTTACACTCTTGCACAAAAACTGAGGAATAAATGTCCGTTGCTTTTGGATTTAAAAAAAAAAAAGATTATATGCTACTAATTGCATTTGGAAGTGAATATAGCTTCAATACAAAAACACAAACACAAAAAGGTTCTCTTTCTGAACAGACACAAAGTACAAACTAAAATGTTGGCAAATAATATAGCAACAAATGAAAATAATTTTTCCTGTGACTGGGAATTGTAATAGTGCTGTGCAATAGAATAATCATTACATTGACATCAGTAAAACAAAATAGTAAAACTCTAAAGTATTAGCTACATTAACTCTTTAAAAAATTACCATTCATCTTTGATTTAATTATTGGTGATAGTGGCTTCATAGGCTTCTCATAATGTAAGTAATTACTTAAAATTGAGGGTTAAAATTCATATTGGAAAAATATAATAAACATTTCTCAAGCAGAAATTAAGCAGTGTTGCCCAGGCCCAGAGCATGCATGGGTTGAAATTCAGCACACAGGGAATCCTTGGAACATCACTCCCAGGCTGCAAGACCACACCCTGCATCTGAAACCACCCAAGGAGGCTCCAGAGGACCAAGTATCCTAACTGGGCCATGCCCAGTGAACTCTAAGCAGCTAGCAGAGGCTCAAATTGAGTCCCAGACCCAGAAGGTGCACAGATTGAAACCCAGCACACAGGGAAGCCTTAGAACGTCACTCCCAGGCTGTAAGACCACAAATCACAGCTGAAATCACAGGAGTCCCTGCAGCCTAACTGGCTCAAGCCCAGTGAACTCCAAGCGGCTAGTTTTTGCCCGCTGTCTGCCCCAGGAGCCAAAAGTGGGCCAGGTGAATCTCAGCACATGGAGGAAGCCTTGAAAGATCACTCAAAATGCAGAAATATAGAAAAATGACAAAATGAAAGAGCAAAATGCAATCTCAAACTTTCAGACCAACCCAAGCAAGCATAGGAAACATGGACACAGAAGAAATATAAGCCATACACCAGAAATGCCTGAAATGATATCAACTGAAGTAAAAAAACAACTCCAGGAAGCTATAAAAGAACTCAAATCAGAAATAGTCACCCAGGTAAAAGGAGAAATGATAAATGTAATGAAAGAAATACTGAACACATTTAAAGAAGACATAGTTTAAAAATTAGCAGAACAATGCAAAAATATGGAAATTTTGGATGAAGAATATAAGAAATAAACAAAATGCATGAAGTAGATTCAAAGAGATATACAGAAATCAAAAATTCCATCAAAGTTGGCAAAACCACCTCAATGAAAGTGAAGATAGAATTTCAGATCTTTTGTATTTTTTTTTTTTGTCTTTTTCCCTTTTATTGGTACCAGGGATTGAACTCATGACTGCCTGCTTGCAAGGCAGGTGCTTATGCCACTGAGCTAAATCCCCAGCCCTAGAATTTCAGATCTTAAAGACATGATTGCAGCCAGTGAACAGAAAAGTAAAGGCCTTTTAAAAATAACAAGGAACCAGAAAATAACAATTCAACAACTGCAAGATAATGCAAAGAAAAACAACATAAGATTGATAGGTATAAACAAAAAAGAAGGGGACAACACAAAGGATATCAAGAGGCTATTTACAGAAGTAATACCTGAAAATTTCCCAAACATGAGAATGGAAACTGACATACAGATCAATGAAGCATATAGAATTCCAAATAACCATAACCAAAATAAAACTACATCCAGACATATAAAAATCAACAACCCAGAAATCCAACAGAAGTACAGAATATTAAAAGCTGGTAGAGAAGAGACAGATCACCTATAAAGGAAAGCCCATCAGAATCACAGCAGACTTCTCAACACACACAAAAAAAAATGAAGTCAAAAAGAGAATGGAGTAGAGCGTTATGCTTAAAACCAAGACTTAGCGAGAAAAAATGGCAGCTTGCTAGGGGATCAGGCGGAGAGTCTCTCCGGAGAAATCATATTAGAAGCTAGAATATGACAACATGGAGAGGGCAAGATGAATGGATAACGATTCTTATTAACCAAGACAGCGCAGCTGGAGGATTTAAAGTCATGCTGAGACTGTGAAGGCTGATAACAGGAGGCTACAAATCCCGCACCTTTAAATCAGCAAACTGACCCATGGACCCAACAGGAAAAGCTGTGTTGGCTTTTGGTGACTGCTAGAAACTGAGACCTGGGACCCCGAGAAGCAGCCAGGACTGCCCCGCTGCACCAGAGGAGATTGTGAAAGGCTCTGGAGCTCCAAAACTGAACGCTGTGCAGTTTTCTGACCGTTCCGCACTGTGCCGGGAGCGCGGGGAGGGCGGGCGGCGTGGTGTGTGGTGGACCCGGGAGGAGGACCTGCGCCAAACCCTGGTGAGTACTGGGGACCCCACGGCTGCTGGGGTTGGCCAGAGAACATCTTGGAACTGGGCAGTGCCCGCCACCACGGGGACATCAATAACAGAGAGTCTGGAGGCAGACATCTTAGAGTTGGGCAGCACCTACAGCTCAGTGACATCAGCAAGTCCCCCTGTAGGGAGGTCTGGTGGAAGACATCTTGAAATTGGGTGGAGCCTGATGCCCAATACAGAGAACTACTGGAAGACATCTTGGATTTGGGCAGATCTACTGTTCTGGTGCTCCTGTCACAGAGAGGTCTGGAAGAGAACAGCTGGGATTTGGGCAGAACCCTGTGCCATAGTGACATTAGTCAGCTGCTTCTGGTACAGAGAGAACTGGCAGGAGCTACTGGGGCTAAACCAAGCCTCTGCTTGGGGCCCAATAAGCAGATACAAAATAGTCACAACTCAGTGACATCCAGAAAGTACAGCCTAATTTACGGATTGACTGGCACAGAGGCTGGAGGCTAGCCTGTACTGCCCCTGCATCCCAGCCTACCCCAGATAACAGCAAATTGGGGAGGACAGCAAAAACTCAAGTCAGCACGCTTCCGAAAGGCCCTAAGCAATTCGGAGAGGGCCAGAGACCCCCAGGACACTCCAGTCTGAAAGAAACCAGAAACATGACAAGAGATAAAAATTAAAAAAAAATCTCCAGCTGCCCAACATGAGAAAATAAGCCCAAGAGAAGTAAACACTGAAGAGAACAAGCACAGTAACCATCCATTACTCGACACAGCATCCGCCGAAATTAAAAAATACCTTCATGATCTCATAGATGAATTTAAAGCTGTACTCCTGATCCAAGTGAGGCAAGATATAAAGAGATTAATTAAAGAAATGACAAGCCCTGCCCAAGAGAACACAGATGGAAGAACTGAGGAAATCAGAAAAGAAAGAGAAACTTCTGAAGAAGAATTTAAACATAACTTAGAATACATGAAACAGATCCAAAGAGAATACCAGGAAACTAAAAACTCCATTGAACACTGGCAAAATGCCTTGACAGAAACTAAAGACAGCCTTTTGAAACTTGAAGAGAGATTTATGGCATATGATTGTGAAAGAAAAAGCCTCTTAAAAATAACAAGGAACCAGAAAGAAACAATTCAAAAACTTGAAGATGACAAAAAGATACATAACTTAAGAATAAAGAATGTGAATGAGGAAGCAGGAGCAACCAAAAATGAAATACAAAGAATATTCACAGATATATTAAAGCAAATTTTCCCATGTATAGCAAAAAGAAATGATACCCAGATAAAAGAGGCATACAGAACACCAGCTACCTACAACCAAAACAGATCTATGCCTAGACATATAATAATCAAGATTCCAGAAATCCACCAAAAGAACAGAATATTAAAAGCAGCCAGAGAAAAGATGCAGATTACCTACAACGGGAATATTATCAAAATAACAGCAGACTTATCAACACAAACTCTTAAGTCAAGAAGGGAGTGGGGAGAAATATTCCAATTCCTGAAAGAAAATAATATGCAACCAAAGCTCATATACCCGTCAAAACTCTCTCTCAAAATTAATGGAGAAATAAGATGCTTCCAAGACAAGGAGGAACTGTGGAAGTTCGTGGCCACCAATCCAACCCTACAGAGAGTGCTGAAGGACATTACAGAGAAAGAGAGGAAGGGATACCAGGATTCCAGCAACAGTGGCAAAGAGGCCTCAATGAATGGGGCAGACAGTGGAATGAAGGAATAAGGTGGACAAATTATAGCAGAAAAGTGGGGTAGCAGACATGAGGCAGAGACGGTAAGCTATAGTCTTTAGTATAGACAGCTCTGAAACACTATTAAAAAAAGGCAGAGGTCACTATAAAAAAAGGCAGCTCTGAAACACTATAAAAAAAGGCAGAGGTGTATAAGGATTTAAAAGACACAGTAGTCTTATCACCATATTTAGTTTGAATTTAATTTGTTCTGGTCTGTCCACTCATGTCAGATTTGAGGGCACAGACATCTTGACCCAAAAATAGCAGGTTATACCATGGTAACTATCCTTACTATCCTATTAACTTAAACTGAAATCCTGTATTACTTACATTGTCTTCCTATGACTGATCTTAATTGAATCTGAATCATAAGACTATGGGTTGGCCATGGCTGATTTTATTTGAATTTGGTATGCTTGTTAGTATCAACCCTAAAAGTAGAGGCAACTACTCTGAAGATGACAAGATGTAAAGGATATCCATACTGGTATTAACTAGTAACAGCTCCCAAATCCTACAATGCTGTCAAAGTTATGTTTTTATAAAAATAGGTGATACTATGTTTAACTATAATAAGCCGGTGTTGTGGACAAATCTATTGAAAATAACAAGAGAAAACATAGTAACTACGGAAGATCATCTATATTGTGGTCTTATATGTCTTATCCATTGTATGTTTTTCTAGAAAATTGTTTTGCTGTCTTGCTATGACTTGGTTTTCCCTATAATACAGAGAGGATAAATATATATGTAGAAATTCACACATGGGTTTTTTTAAAATTATTTATGGGAACAGACTATATAATGCAAGATGTAAT